GAAGATTAATCTCCTAGTAGAAGTTTGAATGCAATTTCTACACCTCTACATCTTCATAACAGCCCATTGTGCACTAAGCAAAACACTCTCTAGTCACTCGGCATGTGGCAGAGTGACTATGCTCTTCCGTTGATGTCTTGCTTTTAGCCGACTGCTAACTCTGGACAGCTGGTCTAGTAACATCGGCAACGCTGATTTGGTTGCATGCAGCTCAGACGCGTTTTAAACTCGCAAAGGTGAAGTACGCATGCGCGACGCTCTTGCTCGATTAGCGGTGATGTGGATATGAATTAAACGCAAATAAATTAAAAAAAATGAAAATTAAATAACTAAATACGTACATACATACATATCAGGTCAGCTACTACATAAATAAGTGGTAAATCAAGAATTAAAAATTAAAGATAATAAATGAAAATAAAAAATGGTTTGAGTGCGAAAAGATAGCAAACGTCCGATTAATGCGCACAGACAGCGAACGAAAGAACAAAACGGGTTGGACGTTAGCAAAACGGATGGGCGGTGTTGGTGGACAGTGGCGACAGTATAGGTACATATGTACGTATGTATGTATGTATACAGTGACTGTGTTGGCGACTGTCGTCGCACCGGATGCAAATACATAAAAAGTGACCGTAGATACCAATAACTACATACATAAATATTGCCTTGGTCACCACCACAGAATTGTCTTTGAGTCGTGTGCTAATGGCCTGCGTTATCGAAATTTAAATTTGTTGTAGTTGTTTTTGCTATCGCACATGCATGTAGGTATGCCTCTTACGCTTGAATTTATGTGCATATGTACATATGTATGTATGTAAGTAAATTTTTATGCTTGCAATGAAGTGGAAAAGTTTGTCGCGCGTCTAATGGCACAGGAAATCGACGTAAATTGGTTGGAAACAAAATCCATCCAAAGTTATGCCGAGAATGGCCGATAGTGTCTGCAGGAAATGCAACCGGGGCTTGCTTGCATCGCGGAAAAATGACCATCAAACGTGCACGCGAGCACGCAAGCAAACAGTCGCAACTACTCTGAGTTTAGTAAATATTGTGAAGTCTGCAGTTAAGGCAAAATGCTTGCGTTCGAGGAAGGTTGCACTTCAACGAGTGACATTCAGTGCACTTCTTTTTTTTTGCTTTATTGATGAAGTGGCCTTTAATGGTCGTCTTTACTTGGACGCACAAGTGATGAGTAGAAGTGTGCATAATCTTTCATTCTAGGTATGATTATAGAAACGAAGAAGCCTCACTGGAGCGGTATTTCGATCATAGGAAGGTTAATTGGGTTCAAGTCTCACACAAACAGGGTTTCTTTAGGATTTGGATGCTCTCCCCTGCTTTAGAACAACTCTTGAATATTGACACATATACCATCTTACAAATCAATACTAAATTTTCTACCGGTAAGATCTATATATCGATGGCTGAGTGCAAGATCGACCTTCTCGGGAACCAGTTCGAAAATGCCCTATCTCAGAAAAGTTTTTAACAACGCTCTGTCTCAGAAAACTTTTCAAGAACGCTCTACTTCTGAATTTGGTTGAAGAACGCCCTATCTCAGCTTATTTTCAATGTATGTATTTACGTTTGAGATAGGGCGTTTTTGAACCGAATTCTGAGATAGTGTTTTTCAGTAAAATTCTGAGATAGGGCGTTTTAGAACTGGCAGCCGAGATAGCTCGATCTTCCTCTCAGCCATCAGCAAAGTGAAATCTTTTACTTGCACGACATTTTATGCAGTTTTTCACTAAGGTTCCTATTTACCCATGTCCATTTGCAAAATTTTTAATTTTTATTTAATTGTATCTTAAAAATAATGGCAAAATTTCATTGAATTAATTTTTTCGTTTTCGCAATGGTTTATACATTTATAAATTTATGCAAAATTTCTACAAGCTATTCTTTTTCCTCAATAAGCTGGCAGGTGTTTTGTTTGCAAACTCGTATTTGCATGCCTACGTAGAGGTGTGTGTGTATGTTTATTTAAGCATGAGTAATATTGTTGACGTTTTTGTGGATGAAGACAAAAGCTACAGAAAACGTCATCAAATTGAATATATCAGCAATGAATACAAAATTGAGCTGTTTGCATATAAAATATTCCTTTTACGCCGGCACGCTTATGGAATAGTGAAAAGGTCAAACTTCGGGGAAAAAATGTAAACAATACTAGAAAATATCCCAGAATAAGTTTTCTTCTATATTGGACGAGAGTTACCGGAAACCCAAGCGTACAACCACATGTGAAGGGAGCTTTTAAATTTTTTAAAGTATTTATTGTTTTTTGCTATTTTAATTTTTTCAAAGTTCCTTTCATTTAAAAACTTTATTTTATTAAGTGCTACATCTTTTTGGGAAGATAGGTACCTACTGGTTTTTTATCATAATTTTTCTAAGTCCGAAAAGTTTAAAAAAAATTAAGAAACGCTAAAAAAATTTAAAAAAATTTGATAACACTGTAGTCAAATTACCACCAAATCATACTTTCCCTCAGTGATGCAATTTTCTTAATGACACGCTTTAGTGACTTCACGATTGACTATGTACATATACACATTTGGGTTTATAGCGGTACAAATTTAATTGCAGTCTAAAAGTGAAATTTCAATCGGCTCAGCAGAGAAATGTGACTTTATTTCACGAATGACGGAATTTCCACACATACAAACAAACATATGTATTAATGAAACAAGTGTGCAAAATATTGGGCGAAAACTTGTAGCCGCTATCCTTTTATGCAGGCAAACGTATGTACATATACATATAGCAGATTTACATTAAGACGGCTCACAAAACTTCACAGGAAGTTAGTAAAATTTATTAAACGTAAAAGGTTAGTTTAAAGTGTGAATACAATTATTGGAGAAGCTTTGCCAGAGGCTGATATTTTTTTTAAACAATTCTTTTTGCAACTTCTCCTAAGTTGCTAATTGAGTTCAAAGAGTTACACCACCCTGAAGGCCAAAAAAATTGGTTAACAAATTTATTTTTTTATGACGCAGATTTGTATGAAATTTATAAAAAACCTTTTTTCACACATATAGTCAATATATAAGAGAAATTTCCAATAAATACAAATTTGAAAAAAATTGTAAAATGGTGGAGGTATGACCGCCTCCTCTTTTAATGATGGTGTACAAGATTTCTCAATCGGGTACTGTATGAAAATTACAAAAAGTTGCTCAGAGTGAAAAGAGAAATCGATTAACCCGTGTCTGTCCGCCCGTCTGTCTGTCCATTCCTCTGTGCTGACGATAGCTCGAGGAAAAATTTGAGATATCTTAACGAATATGTTTCTGTGAGATAAAGACAGATGGTTTGAAAATGGGTAAAATTTAAGGGAACCACGCCCACATCCCACATAACGGAAGCTGTTTAACTCAGAATTGATGTTTGCAGTAATTCTTTAGCAAGTAATCTATTTAAAATCATTTTTTGGAAAATGGGCGTGACACTGCAGAAATACACTCCCTTTTAGAAACTGTTGTATAGTTTTTGGGCCAGAGATCGAGCCCGAGTCTTCTTTAACTCGCAGTATTTGGTTCAGGACTTTTTTCGATTTTTTTTATTTGTGGAAGAGCATGCAGGCTTTGTCAAGGTCTGCAAAACTTGAAAATATCCGCTTATTACTTCAGGTTATTAAACGGAAATTAGATGGAGAATATTTTGGAAAGGATGGCAGTGCAGAGCTTAGGTAAAGTGGCCAAGTTATCGATTTTTGCTATGGCGACAACTTTCTTCACTGAACATTGAAATTGATGTTGTCGTCTGCTTTCAATGGCTATCAGACACAACTAAATGGCCCAGCTTAATCAATTTTTTTAATACTCTCGCAGTAGATGGTACTTGACAACATGATTTCATTCGCTATGCGGGAAATTCAAAAATTCACTAAATTAAAAAAATGATCTCGTTTTTTTTCAAATTAAGAAAGAAATTAAGTAAAGTTGCAAAAATACTGTGTATAAATGTTCATTCGAAAACCCATTTATACAAATATTTTAAATGATAATCTATGCATATTGAAACTTCCATGCGCCTCATTACTGTTGCCTCATTTTCAAGTGAAATTTAAAAAATTTCTGCTACTGAAGCTATCATCAATTCAACAATTCCAATGTGAGGATTTAACCTTAGAGTGCCACGATATCCATGGCAATAGCATCTGTAATTATATTATTAACCACAATTTCCACTCATCTCCTAAATCATCATTATGCTGCCGCACGCCACTTACCATTTATATCATACGTATGTATGTACATATGTACGGGTATTGGTATGGATAACATGTGTGTATGTATGTACATATGTATGGTTTATGCATGTTTGGAATCATATGGTGGTATAGCCACCAGCGATCGCATCCGCATGCAATAAAGCCTCAATTATGATGGTTTCATCCATACGTCGTGCGAATATCTGTCCATACTTACTTTGGTTTATGACCAACACTTTTTCTCTTATAAATTTCATGTTCATACTCGTTTTCACTGTTCAATACCTACTTCATTTGTTATGTGCAAGTCAACTTTTCAACAATTGCAGAAAAATGCCGCCTTCCTTACAAGTGCTCGAGTGATTGGTCGGTCGACCGATTGGTGGCATTCAACATGAGTCATGTGCATTAGGTTCAAGTTAACGACGTATGAACACAAATATGTATGTAAGTAAGTATGCAAGGTTTTTTTTTTTGCAACAAGTATACTTGAATATGTGCGTAGTATGTATGTGTGCATTTATCCAACACACAAATGGGTTTCGCAGCTTACAATAATTTTCTTCCACGCTTTTGAGCGGTGGCAATGAGCTCAGCTTTAATAATAAGAAACAAAATTACATTAATTAACTTGGAGCAAGAAAGGCGATCAATTGACTAAGTTGGCATTTTTTTCTTTTTGTTTTGTTATGGTACATTATGGCTTTAAAGTGTTTGCGCCATTTTTTCTCCTCAGTAGAAAAATTAGTTCCGCCGCCGACATGACAATTGAGATTCGTTTATAGAGAGGTCATGCTTATCTAACGTTTGGATTCTCGAAACAATCTTAATTGAGTTGTTGCCGCCTAAACAATTTTGGATGAGTTCAATAGCTGAAGTCAATTGGAACGTTATTTTTGTGGTTGTGAATTTAAAGAGTCATGCCGGCAAGTAGCTAGCTCAGGCCTAAATGTTAAAAACTCAAAACGTACACCTATATCTTAAAAAAATGTATCCACCACCCCCTACTCGTAAGAGCCATTCAACACAAAATTGTTTGTTTATATGATCATTATCTTTGAAATCACACGCTTAGTTTTTGTCAGACAGAATGGATGACCTCTGTAAAAAAAAAAGTTACTTATAATCTGGATCCTGTAATATCCCCATTGACCCGATCCGCTCATCCTTAACTGTTCATGAAAGACATATTAAATTTTCATGTATGGCATAATAAACTCATAAGCTAGACATTATCCAATATGCACCACGCCCCACTCAGTGTGCGCGCATTGTAGCTTTATAAAGTTGAATTATTTCACCATACAATAAATTGTTTATTTGCTGCTATTTCAATATGAAATGTTTTTTCACTCCCATTTAAACTTCACACAAATAATAAAAAAAAACCTGAAACAATAAAAATGATCTAATAAGCGTTTTTGCAAAGTCGTTAGTCAAAATACCTACATATATACATATATACATATATTATTCGCACATGATTCACTCGTTTAAATTTTAGGTTAATTTGTATTCCAGTTTTTTGTTACCGCATTTGTCTTTCTAAACTTTAAAGCTGCTTCAGTTGACATATAATACGTACGTACATATATGTATGTACAAACATACATAACCGGCAATTTTTTCCCCCAAGATACAAGCTTATTTTTGGACTTATGGGAGCTTCATTTTAATGTCATGTAAGTGATGAAAGTACCTTGATTACTTAGCCCTTAGCCGAATCCATGTGAATTAATTGTTCACATGATTTTACAAGCAAAACAAAATCCAGTTGGGAAATATTTGTATTGTTTTAATTTATAATTTTTGGTAATATGTATCTTTTCACATGGAATTTCCATTAAGGCCGATTATTTCTTCATAGACGATTCATATAGACCCAAGTTCCTTGGAAGATGAACATTACTCTGGACGAAGACATATATGTATTCTTAATCGCCTAGTTATCAAGCTGATATATTATCTGAATTATCTACTCATGATCTTATTGTAAGCGCTGGCTTCATTTGCAAAAAAAAAAACGATAGGATTAAAAACACCGAAGAAAAATAGGTAATGGGCAGCATAACTTTTTTTTTTCAAAATCGCATAAACTTTAATCTTCGTATCACTGTTGTGAAGATCAACGAAACGGCAGTTTCGATATGGTCAGAGAAAGCAGGGTCTTAATTAAGTGGATTTAATTTCACGAAAGTTCACATCATCATGCAAGACATAAGTAAATTGGGTCTTACTTCGGATCGAACCGGGATAGGTAGAAGTTTAACCTGCCAGAGTATTTCATTGTTTCAGAGTAACGCAGGTCTCTCGAGGCATATGAAGCTTTCTTCTTCAATGGGTGGCGGTTGAACTCCAATAAGGTCATTTGCGGGCGAGAGTTGGTGAAGGTGGTCCATTGGTAGTTGTACGTAATCCTGGATATTTTTTGTGAGTTCATAGAGATTACTTCTGACGAAAATTTTTGCTTCTGACAAGTCCCAGAATTAGGCGCTCACTTGCTGACAGTCGAACTTCTTGATCAGCTTTAAGTAATGCGCCCTTCCTGAAATCATCTGCACCAAGGGTTTGCTGAGGGAGTAAGTTAGTCTCGTTCGAGCACAGGTAATCAGAGCTAATGCCGGACCCCAATATCCAACTAGTCAGCGTATAAGACCAGAAAAAATCCCATAAAGTTTCTTTCAAGGGACAAAAAAAAAACATGTCAGTGAAAAGTAGGAAAAGTAAAGTGCCATAGTAAGTATGTATGTATGTATGTATCTCATTGGCTTTTCCACTTTTATGCACAAAATGGCAAAGCATATCGCTGAACAATATCTGATTGTAGAAAGTTTTGTAAAATGACACCAATAACAAGTAAGACACATCTATCGGTAGCAATCTACTAAGACTCCCCAGAACTCACATGAGTTTTTTTTCGCAAATAACGTCATCGCGACGACACAATTTCAATGAACCGCGAATAGAGTGGAGTGGAGCAGAAAATGCCCGTAATGGCAGCATAATCCAAACATACTCGTGCATAAGCTTTTAATAAGCGGACATACATACATACAAATAGCTATTCCACCGGCATAGATGGATGAACGAACATACAGACCAAATGACTATAAAGCCACAGCAAACACAAAGAAAAAAGACTATATTTGTTGAAAGAGTTCGAAGACCACAAGGAACGACATGGGTTGTGGCAACAACAACAGCAACTGTAGCAATGAGAATAATGAAAATAACATAAGCAGCATAAGTATGAACATACTCGTACATACATACATACATACATTCATACATACATACATGCATACTATGTATTTGTACAATAAATAGCAACATCGGCTAAGAGTGGCGTTTAAAGCGTGCATAGACATTAAAAATACAAATAACAACAAAAATAAAAATAAAAACACTAAACACTAAAATTAACCAATTGAACTCTGGCAATAGGCCGCACAGCAGTTGTAGCGACAGCAGTGATAATTCCAGCCGTAGCATCGCCAGCGGCAACAGCAGCGCAGTGAGGTGGTGCCGCTGTGGGAGGCAAAAAAGTAGTGAATACCGCTGACTGCCTATAGAATTCCAATATGAGGGTATCCATTAGGGATGTTAATTTTTCAGCTTTTGCCGATCCCGGAATTTTCGGGATTTCGTTATCACATTGCTTCTATATTGTTTGAGAAGCTTTTCTACCATAAAATAAATAATTATAAAAGGGTGTGGAACCTACTTTTTTATTTAAAGTTGCGTTTTTATTTTTTCTCTCTGACGTCAAAATTTATTTAAAAGGACTTTGTAATTTCAAAGATATGAAAAATTCCAAAAATTATCTAAAAAATTCAATGCAATTTGGAATAAAAATATGGGTACCAAATGCAAAAGGAAAATTCTTTTTAGAATTAAAAAAATTTTAAAATGTTTTGGATTCACAAGAACAAATAGGTATTTTTTAAGCTGATGAAGTTAGAAGGATGAAATTCAACGATGTTATCGAGTTTATATAAGTCCTTAACTTATAATTTTTTCAAAAACAAATATTGCGAAAATTCAAGGATAAAATTTTGAAAGGACATTTTCAATACTTGCCAGTCCTTCTGCACCAAAAACTTTAATCTGTTTAAATTCTACAGGATTTTCTCTTTAATTTGATAACCATACTTATTCTCTAAGTACATTTCTCTGAATTTTTTGAATCATTTTTGAATTACTGACGTCAGAGTGAAAAACTTAAAACGCGATTTTACTATATTTGGCCAATGGTTTCGCGAATACATTGATATTTGTGTTTAAAATTTGTAGGTATTATTGCCATCAGTGCAAATTACAAATCCAGAAAATCCTGGGATTATTTGCCAAGAATCCCGCGATTTTTGGGATCCCGAGATTTACATTCCTAGTATCCATGTAGGCTGTGTGTGTTGTGATACTGTTTGGCGTGTGGATTGGAGAACGGCATGGGACCGACCGACAGATCGATTGCTCGTTGTCGAAGCTGACTTTGTTTCAACAGCGAGGAGCAGCAGTCAGACGGCGCTGTTGAGTAGAGATTCAGCTTTAGTTTACAGACGCATTCGGCGCTCGATCACACGACGGGGTATCACTCACACGCGTAAATATATTGTTATCAAAAAATATATATATATTTCCTAAGTCAATTTTAAAACTAGATATGAGGAGATAAACGCACGCCAAAAATAAAGCAGCAAAAACAATTAATTTAAATTGCCTATATTTTTTGCATAAAACATAAATTTGTTACAATAATACATACTGTCCACCACCCACTAACCCACTTATTCAGTTCTGATGGCTCATCAAAGTCAGGTGCTCAGCTGTAAATTGTGTGAACGGCTTTCTTAAATAATAAACAAATAAAAAACAAAAGACATGTCGCAATAAACAATTAAACGAGTGAATTAAAACAACACATCGATCTTAGCGATCAATTTGACAAACAAACAAATTTCCGAAAGATTTCTACCGTAATTTCCAGCTGTGCGAATCGTGATCAAAACCGCCGCATCGATTAGATAGATTTAACACTGAAATGCTAATATTTTGCATTAGCAAGACCACCAAACGCGTTTTCGTAATAAATGAAAGTGTGTGTGTGAAATTAAAAAAAAGTAAAAAATAGATGTAGTTAAAATAAAAGAACAATTTTGTAGAAATCAACAACTTGCAAATTTCATTAACAAAAACCAAAAAGAAAAAATCCAAAAGCAAAAGCGGCTAAGCTACACACTCCTGATCCCCCGCCCCCCCCCACAGAGCGTGATCAATCTATATGCAAACATACATATGTATGCCACTGTAATAAAGTGAAAAGTGTACTAAAAAAACAAATAATAATTATAAAACAAAATAAGCACACAAATAAAGGCGGAGTGGAGCACACACCCGAAAATGGATTGGAAAGAGCAACCGGCCGCAAATGATATCGAGCAATTTCTACGCGGTAAGTCGTTTCGCTTCGCTTGACTTGTGGCACTAATGTTTTCTCATTTTCCCCACTTAATACGCTATTGTGCGACAAGCTTAACTATGTAAATATTTACTAACATTCCACTGAATGCAATGTTGGTGGTTTTAGTATGTATGTACATATGTATGTAGTTAACCCTTTTTTCTATGTGTTAAAACGTTTTCACACTCATATGTTAGTTCTACTTTTATACTACTTCCTTATACATACATACATATATGTACATATACTAAGTGCCGGGAAAAGCTTATATTCCTTAAACATATGTATCTACATAGTTAGATTTGCTTAGTGACTATTCTTACAAGTGTTATGTAGCAAAATAGAAAATTTTTCTCAGTAATTCTATCAATTTTTGTTAATTGTCTGTGTAAATCAAAGAAAAAGGTGCTTAAAGCAACGACTAAAATTCCTGGAATAGCTCACCATGATTTTTTTTTTTAGTTTAGTGTTTAATGGTATCTATATGTAAACGTTTTTATAAGCTATTTACTAAAATATCGCTTCAACTACTACTTTACATATCATCCATCTCAATTTTTTTTATTATGAAACCACTTCTTTTAACTCGCTGATCACCGACTAGTTTGGACGTTTATTAATAGAATCTTCTCTCAATTGGTCTTAAATTTGTCACACAATTATAGAGATAAATTTATCGACAGATGGAAATTAGAATACTTTGTACTTAAAAATTACGTTCGTGGTTCTCAACAACCTTTAGATATTGTAACCAATCTCTCTTTGATACAAGTAGGAACTCGAATAAATTTTTATCCTTTACTATTTCAGACAAGTGTTGCATATGCTTCATGATCCAATGATCCGAACTAAACCAAATTAGTATGGGACTACCCTTTCCAATAAAAAAAGACATTGATCGAAAACGGTTCAAAGTTATCCGGTATTCCGATGAATTGATAATGTTCCTCATTTTTTGAAGTCGATTAAAAATAAATACAATCTTTGTAAATACAACGCAGTAATTCAACGTCAACGTCGCACAGTATTCTATTTTGGAAAAAAAGGGACAAAATCAAATATCTCGAGAAGAGAATTCAGGAAAAATCGACCTTGACCTTTAAAACCTTTAAAAGGACCTCTAAACAAAAGATTTTAATTTTTTTTTATTTTTTGGCCTGAAACCAGATGCAATGAACTTTTGAAAAGTTTGCTGTTCTTGCGTCAAAGAACCAACTTCAGTGGTCGCAAGAATCGAAAAAGGCATTAAGAATTTCTTTTAAGTTTAAGTTTAAGTAAAGCTGTGTTTAAGTAAAAAAAAGAAAAATCAAAAAAATTACTTTTGAAGTTCATGTAAAAGGTCTAATTAAACGAAAGATTACAAATTGCCTTAACCTCAAAACCGGTCTTCAAAAGCAAATTCTTTAAATTTTTTCTCTTTTCATGGATATGGATTTAACGAGACTATTTTCCTGAATTCTCCATCTCAAAGTTACATTTATATTGCTCTCTCTTCTCGTCCTCGAGATATTTGATTTTGTCCCTTTTTTCCAAAATAGAACACTGTGCGCCGCCGTGAATATTTTTTCAGCCAAATTTTTCTGAGAAAGTTGAAGTAGTGAAAGTTTCATCGAAGGACCATTGGGATTATTTACATATTTAAATAACACAGGCCAAGAAGGGTCAAGAAGCAGAAAACCTAACATATATTTTCGAAAGATTTCGGTACGCTGAATCCAAATCTGGCTGTAAAAATTTGATATGACGTCAGGTTTTTGAGTTATCCTAACCTGAGTGTGCAAAACAAAACATGGTTTTCGTCACACACAGAAAAGTAGACAAAGTAGTCGAAATGCGATATCTTGGCGAAAAAGGGGGATAGTTTGTTTATTTAAGATACTTTGACTAGTTTTGTATGAAAAAAAGTGAAGCGCGATGCGAGTAGTTTTAAAAATGAACGACTACATCCAGGTCCGAGCAGCATCCGAAAAAAAAATTTGTTTCTCTAATAGTGGTCGCCCCTCGGCAGGCAATGCATAGCCTCCGAGTGCAATGAAAAAGCTTCTCACACTACAAATTGTAAGAAATGCTCGGCCAAACACTTTGCTTGAATGTGAGCGCCAAATATTTATTTATTTACTGTAGGTTTGGTGTAGTGTCGCACAAAGTGGATAAGCATGCATTGAAGTATTATTGTTGTTGGGACTGTCGATACAAATTTTTTTAATGCTAAACAGAGTTTCTTTGATTTGTGAATTTGTAACATTTTTTTTTTTTTTTTGAGATTGGGGATCCCCTCAATATCGAATCAGGAGACTACTACTTAATATGCAACTAAAATTCGAGTAAAAATTCAACATCACTCAGTTAGCAATTACGAAAATATGTGCCACGAAATCGCAATTCACCGGACGTTGGCAGCTTAGTGCTTGGCAACCTACTTATTGCAAGAAACGACTTTCTACTACAATTCGCACGGTTTGGCTTGGTGGCCTCTACTGGCAGCTTTAAAGCATTATGTACATATGTATCATAATGAGAAAATAAGAAGACACCTAATTACATACATAGTATAGAGCTAACAAGGTTTTATGAAAACCCCATAATTTATAAATAAAAGTAGCCACGCCTCTTCGGCGTCAACTAAATTAGTACCTCACCGACGCCGCCTAGCGTTGCCTACAAAAGTTTTGCAAAGAATATTTTACGCATTTAAATTTTTTGTTTTCTTCTTCTAGCCGCTCGCACACTAACTACTAGTTGCTTAATTTACTGCATTCGCTTATTTTTTGTTGACTCACTAAACTTGCCGCAGTTGGTTCAGCTAACCCCCTTCCCACAGCTTTGGTAGTACGTTTTGTTTGCTGTTTTTTTTTTTTTTTTTTTAAATTGGCTTGCCGCAATGCCTCGATTTGTAACGAACATTTGCGGTTTTTTGACTGCTCAGCGTTATTCTTTGAGATTTTTCATTTCATTTTTATGTAGCTGTTAATGTAGCTTTTTTTGCGGTGTGTATTGTCTTTCCGTCTGAGGTTAATATGTATGTATGTAAGTAGTTTACCGCTAACACATTTTTGTTTTTATTATTTTCATATTTTCTCAGTTTTTCTTTGGTTAAATGGCGTTACCGTTATTCTGCTGGCTTTTACTTTTAGTGTCGCAACATCAACACATTCGCGCTAGTTATGAATTCATCATCGTTTAACCCCCTGCCTTTTTGCTTACACTTTTTTGAAAGCCATTTAAGTTTCAGAAGTTCACGACTCCAGTCAACTTAAGCACACAAATATGTAGTACATACACAGATGTATATGTACGTACATATGTACATATCTTAAGGGCCTCATTAACTCTTACTTAGCTTTGATTAGGCTTTGAATTAGTCTGCCGCTTGGCTTTGTTAGTCATACATTCAAAATCATGTAACCAAACACTCGAAACTTTCTTTGAGTAGTTGTAAAAAAAAAAAAAAATGCATTGCACACTGACTTTTATAACCGCTTTTATCGTCCAAAACTTAATTTCAACGTTGGAAATTTCTTATAATTACTCGCTCGTGTTAAAAGGGTGTTAGCTGAAATTTACTTTATTAAAAGTTTTACGTAATTTTAATGGTAACATTAATGGTGTTGCTGGCCTAAGAATGTGGTATTTAAAAAGTCATTACATCATTGAAATTACCGCTGGTTTTTTATTATCGCTTGACGTTTGTTTTCTTGAAGGATGTATGTAACGCTTTTTGTTATCACAGCTCAAATCTCTAAA